CAGAAGAGAGAACACAGGTGTTCGGCGTGGTGGATAAGCGTGGTGGCCACAGATGTTCAGTGTGGTAGCTTAGAGGGGAGGCCCCAGGTGTTCAGTGTGTCGGATACAGGGGAGGCCCCAGTTGCTCAGCATGTTGGATACAGGGGAGGCCCCAGGTGTTCAGCATGGTTTAGAACAGTGATGGCGAACCTCTGACACGCGTGTCAGAGGTGACACACGAACTCATTTTTTTTGGTTGATTTTTCTTTGTTAAATGGCAGTTAAATATATAAAATAAATATCAAAAATGCAAGTCTTTGTTTTACTATGGTTGCAAATATCAAAAAATTTCTATATGTGACACGGCACCAGAGTTAAGTTAGGGTTTTTCAAAATGCTGACACGCCGAGCTCAAAAGGTTCGCCATCACTGGTTTAGAGGGAGGTCCCAGATTTCAGCGTGGTTGATTACAAGTGGGCCCCAGGTTGTCAGGGTGGTGGATTAGAGGGGAGGCCCCAGGTGTTCAGGGTGGTGGATTACAGGTGCTCGGGGTGGAGGGTAACAGGAGGGCCTCAGGGGTTCAGGGTGGTGGATTACAGGTGCTCGGGGTGGAGGGTAACAGGAGGGCCTCAGGGGTTCAGGGTGGTGAATCAGCAGAGCAGGCAGAGGGGCACCAGCTGCAGAGGACAAAGGGGCAGATGTTGGAGAGCTTGTGGCTGGCGGTTCTGGGCCACGGGGAGCCTGGGATTTAGTGACATCAGATTAGAGTCTGTGCAGCACAGCCTAGAGGTGAGGCTGGAGGCCTTGAACCTGAGGGCCACAGGAGCGCCACTTCTGGGCCAAACCTGACCTGGAAGTCATGTGATCAGCCACCTGTTTCTATTTCACTTATTCCAGAATAAGAATCTTCTTATCAAGGAGTAGGGTTCGATTAATAGTCCTTCCAGTATTTCATGAGAACCTTAAAGGACCACCCCTCACACAGACAGGCACTACTTGCACACACATACACACCTACACATACGCAGATCCACTACCAGATGCCAAGAGCAGTCCCAGAAACTAGCTCTGCACCCCCCTCACGGTGGGCATTCTGTGCTGCCTGTCTTCTCAGAGGGAGAATCAGGCCTGGGGCTGAGACATCTCTGGGCAACTCAATAGTCATCATTACATTCATTTGCAGAGTTGATGCTTTTTGGGTCCATGAGCCAAATTCCTCTCTCTCTCTCTCTCTCTCTCTCTCTATCTTTATTGTTGAAAGCATTACATAGGTCCTCCTTTTCCCCCATTAAACTCTTCCATCCCACTCCTTTCCCTCCCACCCCCAGGCCTTCACCACCCCATTGTCTGTGTCCTGGGGTTATGCATATACTAGTATTCATACAAGCTCATTGGTTGATCTCTTCCCACCCACCCTCCCCTGCCTTCCCTCTGAGGTTCTTGCTTCTATGTCTCTGGGTCTATCTTTGTTCATCAGTTTTATTTGGTTCATTAGATTCCACATGAGTGAGATCATGTGATACTTATCTTTCATGAGCCAACTTTAAAATGAGTATTTCCATCTTCCCAAATCACTGGGACCCAAAATAAAATAAGAAAGCTAATATTCAATCTCCCTTCTCCTGGAGAAATTAAAAACTTTGACCACAAGTTCTTCGTTTCTGCTGCATCTAACTCAATTGTTCTTAAGCTCAGGAGTATATAGGAAACCACTTGTGATGTCTATTAAGATGCCAATCCCCAGGTGCCAGCTTCAGATGTTCTAGTTCCTCAGGTCTGGCATAGAGCCTATGAATCTGAATTATAAGTTGCCCCTGTGGTCAGAGACCACACTTTGAGAAAACTGAAGTTTGGCATCCCCATTACTCACAAACATATTGAACCACAGGGGCCTTTCCCCCTCCTCTCTCATTTTCTCCTTTCCCTGTGTGAGCTCAGCTAGTGATTGCATCATCAAAGGCATCTGATGAGCCAGAAAAGAAAAAATTTTCTAACTGTGCTGTAACTCTGCCAGAACCCCAGTCTCCATGTGTAGGGAGACGTGAAGGGGTGTGGCAGATGTTGGCTACCTGCCCAACAGCCACCCCCCTCTCTGGTCCACCTCTTCATGTTCTTCCTTGCTAAAGAGAACCTCGGTTCTGGTCAGGAATCAGGTAACATATGTTTCACAGCAGGCTGGGCCATGAAATTTAGTTTTCCAGGGAAAAATCTTGATTGGCCTAAATGAGGGGTTTTCATCCCTGGCTGCAAATTAGAGTGTCTGGGAGATTTTAAAGATACTCATGAATGAATCCTATATGAGATCAGTTAAAGCAAAGTCTCTAGGATTTGGATCTTGGCATGGATACTTAAAAACAAAAAAAACAAAAAACCCATCTCCCCAGGTGACTCTAATATGCAGCCATGGTTAAGAACCAAACAATCCCAGTGGTAATTCTATTCCCCTTGCCAGTGATTGATTTAGGAATGGATACATGGCATGGTTTGATATAAAAAGAGACATAAAAGGAAATCAGCTCCATATTCTTCAAAGGGGGCCTTCTGGCCTTTGGAAATGTTGTGTGAGATTGATGGCAACCATCGTGTGACCTTGAGGAACAATCTTACAAAGGTCAAAATGCTGAAGATGACAGAGTAAAAACATGGCAAGAACCTGGGTCTTGCATTTGGCGTTGAACTGCTAAGTCAATCAACTGTTGGGGCAGCCTAATCTCTGGACCTCTGTTTATGTAAGATAGTAAATGTTCTTTATTAATTAAATGATTGTTTAGGTCTTTTGGTTGTTGCTGTTTTTAGTTGGTTTCTTTTGTTTTGTTGTTTCACCAGCAAAAAGCATCTTAGGTTACACTAGAAGATAAAGAATTCTATGAGGCTGCCTCTTGATTCTTGTTTCTCTTATAATGATGCCCTTCTGATCTTTCTGTAATAAATGCCCACATCTTCCTTCCACACACTTAAACTGAATCAGGCGCCTTTAGGACATCATACTGATTAAGTCCATGTATTCTGGCGCTGAAGTCAACTTGCCTGTGTTCAGTTATGTACTTCACCATTATAGCTGTGTAATTTCTGGTAGTTATTTAAGCCCTTTTCTAAGCCAGTTTGCTCATCTATAACCTGGGGATAATTTTACCTGTTTCCTATTTGGCTATTTACCAGATTTTTGGATTTAACATATGAATTTAATGAGATAATTCATGCAAAAATCCATTTAATAACATCCTTGGTGCATGTACATGTTGAGTCAAACACAGGGAGTTTGAATTTACTAGAAAAAGTCTCAGCTTTTCAGTAAAGGCAATTCAGCAGTAAAACTAAACGCCCTTCTATGATTATAATTGTGAAAGTCAACAAAAAGTCTTTGGCAAGCTCTGTCCTAATTCCTGTTTCAAGCAACGTGGTCTCCATGGCTCTTCCCAGGGCGTGGAGTAAACATAGCTTTTTACCTCCTCTACCAAAGCAGAGATGAGGTGAGATGTCCCATTGTACAGCCCCCTGGGGAACAGCGTGGGCATGCGTGTCACCACAGGCTCTTTTTGCTGCTGCAACCTTGAATGCTCTGAGATCCAGGGTGCCAGTTCCTGACATGTGATTCATCAGACTCAAGACATCCCACCAGATGCCTGTCTGTCCCTGTGTTTCTGTGATGTCTGTCACCATGGTACTCAGGCGTGCGTGGTGCTGCTGCCATTTTTTGAAAGAGAATCACCAAGTTGGGAGGAAGCAGCCTCCTGGGTTCTGAGGCCTCTCCTGGTGAGATGCGGCCAGAAGACTGAGGAGGGGTCAAGGCGAGAAGTCGGTCTGCCTCTTCTGAAACACCCCGATCCCAGGGGTGCAGCAGAGTCACAAGTTCAAGGAGCTCCTAGGCCTATCCTCTCCACTGTAGAAGCCCTTTGCCCAGCCACTGCAGGCTACAGTCCCTGCCGGCAGTATCCACCAGTGGCTGAAGACTCCAGCTTGGTCTCCCTGGGATGCCAGCCTTTCATTTGGCTTTGCCAACAGCCACATGGCAGCTCTGAGGTGTGGGATTAGATCTGGGGGGCTTTATATCCATGCCTTACTTTAATCACATCCGGTCAAATTTGTTGCAATGAAAATGTGTTTTTTGAAAAACTTTTTCCGACTAAAATGAAGGTGAGGAATGATGGGTAGTGACTGAGGGGTGGGGTGGGGTGGGTAGGTGGGGTCAAGAGACCCTCCATTGATTTGTCTGTGGTGAGAGCTTCCTGTGGACCTAATCCAGACGGGGTCTCAGCAGCATGGGGTGGGGAGTGGTGCCTGGCCCTTGGGTTCTTCCTTCTCTTCTTGCTTCCAAACACTGGGCTCGGTACCCAGAGGCAGGACCTACCCTTTCCCCTTCAAGTCCTGCTTATTCTGTCCATGAGGCTAGTTCACAGGCTGCACTCAGGCCCTAAACACCAAAGCTAATCTGGACACAGAGCCTGGGTGAAGCCAAAATTGTCACCAAAAGGTGATTCTCTCTCTGTATCTCATGGGCTTGCTTGGTTACGCACTCTGCCAGTGTCTTTTTAAAAGCTTTACTATGGATCACTTAGATCCATGGTCAGCAAACTGCGGCTCACGAGCCATATGCAGCTCCTTGGCCCCTTGAGTGTGGCTCTTCCTAAGCCTTAGGAGTACCCTAATTAAGTTAATAACAATGTACCTACCTATATAGTTTAAGTTTAAAAAATTTGGCTCTCAAAAGAAATTTCAATTGTTGTACTGTTGATATTTGGCTCTGTTGACTAATGAGTTTGCTGACCACTGACTTAGATAAACAAAAAGTATAAATAATTGGAACATAATTAACACCTGTATGCCCATCACTCCACTTGAGAAACAAAGGTGTTACCAATAGAGTTGAACCTACTCACACTCCTTCCCCTCCTTGAAATAACCTGAGTTTGGCCCATCACACATATCAATTGGGATTAAGTTTGGCTACAAATAAACAGAAAACCCAAAACATTTACTTACATGAGATAGAAGTTTATTGACCTTCCTAAAAAGAGGTCTGTTGGGGCCGGGGTGGCTCAGCAGTTGAGCGTCAACCTACAAATCAAAAGGTCATGGAGGTTCAATTCCCAGTCAGAGCACATGCCTGGGTTGCAGGATTGATTT